CCTGCTGAATCGTATGAAGCTCGTGCGGGAGCTCGTGCAGGAGCTCGATGCTCAGATAGCCGATTACACCAGCACGTACGAGCCGGATGATCAACTCGAGTGGAATCTCGTTCTCGACGAGATCAAGGCCTTCGTCAAGGCCGAGTCCGCAGTCGGAGTCCTGCACTCGGACTCGAACCCGATCGTGCTGACTCACAGGCTCGGTCCGCAAACCTGTCCACCTGTCGAACGATCGCCACCCATGTGCCTATCTCTCCAAGAGATCCTAATCGTCGGCAATTGCGCCGATCAGGTGAAGTTCAGTGAGTTGTCGATGGACATGTTCAGAATGCTGCAGACACTCGAGCGGGAACCAAGGGACGACCCGAATCACCTGCACGACGCCTCGCCCGCCGGTCGGATGCCCTTCAGACCCGGGCCTTATCCCGGACCGGAGAACGGCGCGCCGAGACGCGACAATCCGCACAAGTATCTGCTGTACAAACCGACCTACAGTCAGGTACAAGTGTTCCTCGCGAGTGGCTTCAAGGAGCTACCGGCCAATGGCGCGTTACTGCTGTACCTGTCGGCGGACGGCTGTTTCTCCACCGTCAAGCATCCCGAAGAAAGTGAGTGTTTAATCGAGTTTCTTTCACGTACATGCCTTTACCTTTTGTTTTATCGCTCTATTATCGCAAGTTTATAGAGGCGTAACCTTTATTTTAAATAGAAGGTTCGCTGAAAATAGATGTAAGGATAGAATGCGTCTTCTCCACAAATTATGCGAATTTATTTCGTATTAATTGAAATAGTACTACTAATTTCAAATTATATTATATTGAGAAATCATCTTTATATTTTATTTGAAAAAATTTAAAATTAAATGGGATTAAAATGCTTCACGCATAGATAACATTTAAGTAGCTTTCATTCGCTTTGCCATTAGCTAAGATGACCTATTATCCATGAATTAATTTATAATGCATTATAAATATCGCGCAGGAAAATGATATTTTTATATGAAACAATAAGTGATGGAATATCATGGCAATCTCTGTCGAAGAAAAAATGAAATTGAATCAAACAAAATTGAACTAAATAGAAATCGTCATATTGAGGCAGCGATGTTTTTACATTTCATATGAAATTATTAAGACGGTATTACTTTATATGTTATTTTTATTTCAAGAGAATATATTTAATTAAAATGCAAGTGTGTGAGATTCTCTAAGGTTTCCATCGTCATTTGATATTTTTATGTAAAGAAAAAAATAAATAAGCAAAGCTTTTACAATGTAGAATCTAATGGTTTAAAATGTAAAGAGAATTTTGATTTAAAAATGTTAGAAATTATTTACTGTGTCTGTACAAAGATAATAACCGAAAATGATTAAGGAAATAGAGATAATGCTAGCATGGAATCAATTTTGGTCTTTCAAAAATGCAAAAATTATTTCTTCGTCTTTCCTATATTGACGTCTGAAAATCTCCAATTGACAATCATGAGCTACAATTAATAAGTTGTTCATACCTGTACTTTAATATCACACAAAAATCGTTTGGACCGTCCATTGCGTTGCCATCAATCCCTGCATCGGATAGTATCGTGTCCCGCATTTCACGCCTTACAATCTCGTGTAAACCACCAAGTCCGTTCCGAGTCCGCTTGAGTCGATCACGCCAGCACAAACGATGGTCATCCAAAAGTGACCACTGATACAGAACAGCCCGTTGTACAGTCATGCGAAGTTAAAACGAATCACCCGCTCGGCGAAGCCAAAGGCGTACGCGTGTCGGTCTTTTCGGTCAGTTTCCCCGATCGGTAATCCGGTACTTTGGCTACTGATACCATCATGGAAGTGGCTAGTCGGGTTTCCTCGAGTTCCCTCAATTGGAACAATCATAATTATAGTAATAAAAAGACAACGATAATTTTTCCGCAATAATTTCGTAGCCGTTCCGCGTAACCACGTGTTTTGTACACGTGGTGCGCGATCACCTGTCTCTCTTCCTCCCTCTCTTTCTCTCGGAATGTCTCTTTGTATCAAACAAACCGTATAGAATGCCTTAGATCGACTGTAAAATATTTCAGAGACAAACTCTTTTTGATAAAGTCGATGGACAAGACTCGATTTTTCTCACACGAATTTTTAAACAATTTTTTTTTGTTGGTTTTGTTACTATTGTCGCTTTTTCGTATCAAGGAAGTAAAAAAATCTTTATGACGAGATATAATTAGCGTATTTTTATTTGACCGTCTTATTCTCATCGCGACTTCACGCGAAATATATATTTCGTTTATTGACTGACAATGATGCTAATTATAATGAAATACTCATCGTGATTTCGAGTTTATTTATATGTGTATACAATTTTCTTGTTTATAAAATTTATTATTTAATGTTTTTCTTGTTTATCGAAAGCGATTTTTGGAAACGATGCATGCTAGTGATACACATGATGCGTATGCGTAGCTTTTCTATATATTTTATTATGACATTATTCTAAAAATATTTGAAATAACTTGTGAAAAAATACGTATAAATATCTAAGTCGTAAAAAGTACAGGTTTCTTAAAAGATATATTAACGTTATTTTTAGCTATTGACGATTTGATATTCCGATAGATCTCAAGTCTCGAGGCAAACTTTTGCTCTTATGGAAAATTTATATGCTATCTTTTCAATTATTGCGTTTAGTTAATTACTCTATTTCATAAAATATTTGCAAATTATCTATGCTGATAAAAGTAAAATAAAGTTACTTAGGAACCATTTATCCGCATGTCATGCGCAACTTTTGTCGATTGCAATTTAGACTAGGATTACATATTGCTTAGATCAAGGTTATATATCAGTCGCTAGTTGCAACCAAGGTCTTTAAAGGAAAATAGAGTAGCGCGTTCTAGTATCAAGGTTATTTCGTAATAAAGATTCGTATCATGGCGAATCTAGCTTTGCAATCAATATCAATGTATTAGAAAGACAAGTCTATCGATTACAATAATTGGTAACATAAATAATGCGGAATGAATTCCTCGACTTTTGTTTATTAATACAATTGCTCTTCGCAAAACACGTATAAAAATTATAAAACATTTACTTAGACTTGGAATTAAAATATTTGTCGCAGTGAATGATGGCAACATTGGGGAAAGACTTATAAATAATTATTTAAGAACACTTGAAATTTTTAAATAAAATATTAATTTTATATAATTTTATGCCTTTGTCATTCGAATAACAAAATTATAGATTGTTAATAAAAAATTAAGGATATAATTATATATA